CCGACTGAGTGGACTGACTGACTGACGGACTGACTGACCGACCAGTCTTCTTTGGACAACCACATGACTGGCTGACTGAGTGACTGACTGACTGACCACGCGGTTGGCTGACCGACTGACTGACTGACCGCCCTTCTTTGGACGACCAAATGACTGTCTGACTGACTGACTGACTGACTGACGGACTGACTGACTGACTGACTGACTGACTGACTGACTGACCGTCTTATGGACTCAAGTAGCCGCTGAGCCGAAAACCAAAAAAAATACCCAACAAAAACCAAAAAAAATACCCAAAAAGAACCCCCACCCAAACCCTAACCTCAAACCCTGAACCCTTAAAGACAGGCTCCTCATCGAGACAAAAGGAAACTTAAGTAATATAGAAGCCTTTTTTCCCAAAACGACCTTTTGACCTCCTTTATAGCAGAATGAGCCGCCCTACGGAATCAGGGTAGCCATTTGGGTCTAGGGTTTAGGGTTTAGGATTTATTCAGAGAGACTTCTATCTTAGAACTCCCCACCCTGAAAGAAACCGCAAATGTGGATTCAAGAGCTCGAAACTTGCAACCGCAGCCTGCAGGCCACGGGAAGTTCAGGGTTTAGGGTTTATGACAGTTTAGGGTTTAGGGTTTAGGGTTTACGACAGTTTAGGGTTTAGGGTGAATGACAGTTTAAGGTTCAGGATTTAGGTAATTATCATGGTTGAAGAATTAAGGCTATTTGAGAAAGCTGCGACGTGGTTTTTAAGCGGGTGGCAACCTCTTGTGGACGCCTATGCCCTGAATCCCACAATACCTCACCCCGTACCCCTAAACCCTAAACCCTAAACCCGCTACCCTCAAGCCGTCAGGATCACTTAAATATGTCGGGCTAGTTGGGCTTGGCCTCCATGAAACCCGGAACCCCAACCCTGGAAGCCAAACTCCTAAACCAAACACCTCGGTTCATGCCCATCTGCACCTGAGACCCAAAGGCCTGATTTAGAAGGTTTCGGGGGTCCATTAAAGGGACAACAAAAGGGGATACTACTACCAAGCACTACCAACCCTCCGAAACCCTAAACCCAAACCCCAAACTCCCAAACCCATGAACGTGCTGAAACGGACTTGGACGATTCAGGCGCCCGCCCGCCGTCGCTGGGCAAAAGCTGTCCAAACCTCCGGCTAGGTGGGCTTTAGGGTCTTTCAGTGCACATGTTAGACCCGACCCTCCCATCGGACCCTCCCGCAAGTCGAGGCATGTGAGTGAAACAGGGGCACGTGTATCAGGGCACAAGATATCATTCAGTACCCTAAACCCTAAACCCTAAACTGCCTCCGGGAACAGCGTCGGACGCTAGAAGTTGTAAGGGTCCCTCTTGCACTTCAGTCCGGAGCCTCTCTTTCTGGGGTGGAGGGTCTGGCTAGGGTTTATGGTTTAGGGTTTATGAGGCCACAAACCAGGTAACCAGATACCCGAAACCTCTGGTTTCGAAAAGTTTTGAGACTTTGGGCAAAGGATTTTCAAGGTTTTGATGAGGATTGAGGGTGTTGAGCGTTTTCTGGGCGTTTGGGACTTTAGCATTTGGGGCTCCTTCGATCTTGGTAGTGGAGTATGGGATGATATGTGCAAGCCGAACTCTTTGAACCGCGGATTCATTGACTGTATACGAGCCCATGCTGCCTGATGGTTTGCAAGATTTGCGGCTGAACAAGACTGAGGTTTACGAGAGTGGTACAGCGGCTGCCACCCTAATAAACCCTACACCCTAAACCCCAAATCTCAAAACCCTAAACCCCCCTAAACCCCAAACCCTAAACCCTAAACCCTAGACCCTAAATGCCAAATCTCCAAAGCCCTAAACCCAAAACCCTCCAAGACTCCAAAGATCCGACAAGGAGCTTCCGACCATCGGGAAGGAAGATCTCGAGGAGGGAGTTGATGGACCTATAGGTAGGTCTCTCTCTCTCTCTCTCTCTCTCTCTCTCTCTCTGGTGTTTAGGGTTTAGGGTCTAGGGTATGAGATTCTGAGATGCTACTTAGAAGCTTACATAGGCGTTTAGGAGCGTGCTTATAGAACCTTTACATGGGCCACGGCTTCGCTGGGCCTTGGAGCTTAGGTCTGCGGAGCTTTCGTGGTTAGGCTGTCAGCGTTTAGGGCTTAGGGTTTAGGGTTCAGCGGTTAGGGTTTCAAGGGTTTCGGTGCGGGATTCACTACTTAAGATCTCTGCGGCCCCGGGATGGCGGGTCTTAACCCAGAGCGCCAAGACCCTTGAACTTCAACCTGAAAACTCAAAAACACGTCAAAAGCATTCAAAATGCCATGACTTAAGATCAGATTGGAAAAAGCTGTTGAAAGGCGAGATGAAACAGATCCCCCTAAACCCTAAACCCTAAACTGCCAAACAAGGAATCTCGGCGGCGATCGTTTGGCTGGAGCTCAAGGCGCTTCGAGGCTCAAGATTGGTGGCCTGGAAACTGCACCCGCAACATAGGGGCCGTAGGCATCAGAACAGGGTTCCTTTAAAGGGGCTCCTTTAAGGATACGGTAAAAGTTTAGTATCGGCGCCTTGATAATTCAAAAGTCGAATAAGGCTTTTCGGGGCATACTCTAGTATGGTTACACCCCAAGAATAGTATTGGTAATCAGCATTTCAGCCCCCAGGAGACCAGCGAAAGAACCGTGAGAGGGTAGGCTGTGTGGGCTACAGGTACACCTGGGAACAACATGAACCCAAAGCCCTAAACCCTAAACCCTAAACCCTAGAACCCAAAACCCTAAATACCCTAGAACCCGAAGACCCTAGAACCCTAAACCCTAGAACCCTAAGACCCTAAACCCTAAGAACCTAAAGGTTTGGAGCTTCTGGGTTTTGGAAACGCTTTGGGGCATCCGCCCGAGAAGGACATCCTTGTACTTCTCGCCGCCAAAGCTGCGAACCTCTGCATTTCTGGGATGTGGCCGCTCTGGGTTTTGTATGAAGCAGTTTTTTGCTTTAGGGGACAACCCTAAACCCTAAACCCTGAACCCTGAACCCTAAACCCTAAACCATAAACCCTAAACCCTGAACCCCCAGATAATATAGGAGAATTACTGTAGGATAATATAGGAAGATTACTACAGGATATTACAACTAAAATTTAACCTAGACTTATCACATAGAAAGACCTATCAGATCTCAGTAATTGTCAACTAATAATTTAGGTCAAACTTAATGATTCCCTGCTCCTATAACCTAATGATACAATCTTACAACCTTAATTTCCTTTACAACTTTAATGTAATGTAATGAAAAGAGAATTTCGTGCACGTTTTCTTTCTCTTTTCAATGAAACGAAGTGAAAGCGAGAAAGGAAAGAAACGTGAACGAAATACGAACGAAATTGGGGGGTGCTGTGATTAATTTAAAATACAGAAAACACGCTTCACTCGTTCTTTGTTTTTCTTTATTTAAATTAAGCACAAAGCACCCGAAAAATATGGATGGAAATGACTTAAATTTGTAATGATAAAATCCTCCTATCATGAAAGCCCTATTTTTCTTGGTCTTCTGTGGTTTATTTCTTTCATTTCTTTTCATTAAATTCGTGCATGCATTCGCTTCTCTCACTCCTTTACAATTTAATTAAATGAAATGTGAAAAGAAATAAAACCACAAAACCAAGTAAAAGATCCATCTAAATCCTACATTATAATCTAACCTACCGGAATGACTGGGAAATAGAAGTAGGGGTATAAGAGGGTTTTTAACAAATTATAGACTGCCTTAAACCCTAAACCCTAAGAAGTTCCAAGGTTTGGGTTTGAGGGCTCAGCGCCAAGGGTTTGGGGCTCGCGGCGTGGGTTCTGGAGTTGAAGGGCTTGCGGTTTAGAGGTTTAGGGTTTAGGGCTCAGTGGGTTTAGGGTTTAGGGCTCAGTGGGTTCAGGGTTTAGGGTTCAGGGGTTTAGGGTGTGGGGTTTAGGGTTTAGGGTTTAGTTTAAGGTTTTCAGGGTCCAAAAAGCTCTAACCATCCTAAGATTCTTCAGTGTTCTCACTTTGCAGCTGAGTCTTTGGGCTTCGCTCCAATGCTGGCTTTCTACACTCCGCTGCCATCGGAACGACCGTCCAGGAATTAAGGTTTGAGGCTCAGGGTTTAGGGTACATCTCCAAGTGCCCCTGATATTATTTGCTCTTTACAATTCTAGCGCCGAAAGGTATTGACAATTTGTGGTCGCCGAATGTAAGGTGACTCAGAAAACCTCCCTGAACTGCCAAATCCCAAGCTCAAACCGCCTAGATCTGGTCCTGCACCCCCTAAGCCTTAAACCCTCTTGAACCCTAAACCCTATCCGCCTAAACCTAAACCCCAAACCGTAATCCCCCCTAAACCCTAAACTCTGGGAACCCAAAAAGTCCCGAAGTCTACGTCCGGTGCCTGGAGGCAGCTCCGCCTCATTGCTAGAGCGCCCTGCAAGGGCTTCGGGTTTCGGGTTTAAGGTTTAGGGTTTAGGGTTTAGGGTTTGAGGTTTAGGGTTTAAGGTTTGGGGTTTAGGGTTTAGGACTGCTTACAAAACCAGGGCGGCTTTGAAAAAAGACGAATGGGGAGTTGTGGTGTTTCATAAGGGCTTCATTAGTTTGTAACACGGACTCTATAAGGCTTGTTGTAGGAGCTTTAGAAAGGTTCTATAGATATAGGTACCTTAAGAAGTAGAGCAGGCTCCGGTGCTGGTGATACGGTACCTATAGATGCACCACGACTCTGAGGGAATACAACTGGCGATTACTCAGATCCCAAGTAGTAGGTTCGCGTTTTGGGGCGTCGCCAATGGCTGATACTTGCTACTAAACCCTGGTCCTGTGTCTCCAAAAAAATGCGGGCCACACTAAAGATCCCCAAGAAAAACGAAGTTTTGCTTAATCAGCTTTCTATGTTACAACATACCCTGCACGACTATACTGACCGTCTCCGGAGCATCCTACAATCAAGATCATTGGAAAATCATATCACATGTCTGTGAGTGTATGCATGTGTGTATATATATACATACATACATACATACATACATACATACATACATATATATATATATATTTATTTATTTATTTATTTATTTATATATGCATATGCATAAGCATATGCATATATATATATACATATACATACACATGGTTTCAAGCTATAAGTGCTATAACCATGTACACATACATATGTATATTTATATTTACATTTATATTTATATTTATATTTATATTTATATTTATATTTATATGTATATTCATATTTATATTTATATTTATATTTATATTTATATTTATATTTATATTTATATTTATATTTATATTTATATATATAAGCTAGCCCCCCCCCCTGGACTAACCTTTCAGATGAAATCTTATAAACTTTCAAAAAGCCAGAACTCACGATACTATTTTTGAGTTCCAGAAATCTTAAACCTGCCTAAAATTTTCAAAACTTCCAAAAATTCGAAAATTCCAAAAATTCCAAAAATTCCAAAAATTCCAAAAACTCCAAAAATTCCAATAACTCCAAAAACTCCAAAAACAAAAATTCCGAAAATTCCGAAAATTCCAAAATTCCAAAAGATCCAAAAATTCCAAAAATTCCAAAAATTCCAAAAATTTCGAAAATTCCAAAAATTCCAAAAATTCCCGACCTAGGTTTTGGATTGCGAAATTCCGGAATTCCAAAACTTCTTTCGGAATTTTTGGAATTTTTGGAATTTTGGAATTTTCGGTATTTTTGGAGTTTTTGGAATTTTTGGAATTTTTGGAATGTTTGGAATTTTTTGAATTTTTGGAATTTTTGGATCTTTTCGGATCCTTTGGATTTTTTGGAATTTTTGGATTTTTTGGATCTTTTGGAGTTTTTGGAATTTTTGGAATTTTTGGAATTTTTGGAATTTTTGGATCTTTTGGATCTTTTGGAGTTTTTGGAATTTTTGGAATTTTTGGAGTTTTTGGATATTTTTTGAATTTTTGGAATTTTCTGAATTTTCGGAATTTTTGGAATTTTTGGAATTTTTGAATTTTTGTAAGTTTTGGAAGTTTTGGAATGTTTTGAATTCTTATGATTTTTGGAATTTTTGGAATTTTGGAATTTTGGAATTTTGGAACTTTTTTCGTTCTTTTTTGAAATTTTCGGAATTTCTTG